ATCGTGTAGAAGTTGAGACCGGATTTTTTGACCCATAAGGTCAAGGTGAGGACGAAAATATCGTTAAGGGAAAGGCTTGGTCGATCTTCTATCTTGGGTCGAAAGGTGAAGTGGGCGATTGAATTGAGTGTGTATTCTTTGGTCTATGAGCCTTGGAGGGCAATCAAGGCCCAGGTTCTGGTTGACTTTATTCAAGAAGGCACGAAGGAGGAGGTCGAAGCATAAGGGAAGTAACAGTTGTACGTTGATGGATTAGTTTCTAAAGGAGGAGCGGGGCTGGACATTGTTTTGATTTTGCACAAAGGTGACATTCTGGAGTTTGCGACCAAGCTGGTTTTAGGGTGCCCAACAATGAGGCAAAGTATGAAACAGTGGTCAGAGGTTTGCAATTGGCCTTAGCAGGAGGAGCTTGAGAGATCCAAGTGCACTCTAATTCTCAATTGGTATTAGGTCAATTCTAGGAATTAGTCGAGGTGAAGGAAGAAAGGATGCAGAGGTATGTTGATGAGATGAAGAAGTTACAAGCATAATTCAACTTTTTTGAGTTGATTCAAATACCAAAAGTGGAGAATGATCAAGCCGATTTACCATAAAAAATAGCTCAAAATCCGGTCGGTTGCAAGAGCAGAAGCGTTACACTCTTACAAATGGAGAAAACGCAATCGAGGTAGCAAAGATTCAGGAGGTCGAGGATTAGAGGGCTCCTATCTTAAAAGAATTAAAAGAAGGGAGCTTGAAGTGTATTAAAAGGTTTTACGAACAAGGGGGAGTCCTTTACAAAAGGTCATTCTCATGGCCATATCTAAGGTGTGTAATCGAAAAAGAAGGTTGATACGTGCTGAGGGAAGTACATGAAGGGTGTTGTAGTGACCATAGTAAAGTGAGAGCATTTGAGGCAAAGATCCTCTGAGCAGGTTACTTCTAGTCGACGATGAGAGCAGATGCGGTGACCATGGTGAAGAATTGTTTGTAGTGCCAAAAGCATAGACCACTCATCCATCAACCGGTGGTGACAATGACCACAATGAGCGCCGCGATTGCATCTTCTCAGTGGGGCATCGACTTGGTGGGGCCTATTCTACGGAGTTCTGGTCAAAGAAAATTCTTGATTATAGTCGTGGACTACTTCACTAAGTGGGTCGAGGCCGAACCGTTGGCCAAAATCACAGAGGATAAAGTGGTGCAATTCTTATATAACAATATTTGTTGCAGGTTTGGTGTACCTAAAGTACCCAGTTCAATGGCAAGAAGATTAGGGCCTGGTGTGTAGACATGAAGATTGAGCAACATTTTACATCGGTGACACACCCCTAAGCTAATGGTGTTAGATTTTGGTCGTGCGAACCCAGCGCACGCGCAACAGAATTCTTAAAATTTTCTTTCCAACAACGAAGGTCCGACTATAGTTATTCGATATGATCCTAGATAGCGTGAATAATTAACGAAAACTTATAGTTGTTCATTTATATCCCCGACTATGGTATCCACGCAATCTAGTTTTCCGATGCACGATCTAACGTCAATGAATCCCTTCCGGTGAAGAAGCTAAGAATCCTCAACCAGAAAGTCGGAGAGTGTTTTCTTTCAATCTTGATCTCTCAATCTCTAAGATTTTGGGATCTCTCAATGTGTTTCTCTCTCATTCATCGACCATCGATTAATGACGATGAAGAGATAATGATATATTTACAATTAGGTAATGGGCCTTAGAAGACCCTATAGCCTAAGAGGTAATTGGACCTAATCCATTAATAATTTAATTAAGTATAATTCAATTTAACTTCACTAAATATTTTCCTTCAAATAGAAAATAATCTCATTACTCATAAATAAAATTGAATATTCAACACTTTCGATTCGCTCTTAGTCGAAAAACGGATTGCATATTGTGTGACCCTATGGGCCTTCATATATTGACATAAATCTAATTTATGATCCTTACGAAACTCCTAGACTGCGTCGAAGGACGAACTCAAAATATGAAGTACGTTTACATGGACAAAGCAAACAAACCTTTAGTGTAGAACTCAATACGGTCCCTTCATTCACGAACCACTCGATTAAGCTTAAGATTTGAACGTGTGTCTATCGAAACAACTTAGTCATTTTATCTCATCTTATTGGTTGATTTTAACTAATTATATTTGAACACAATTTCAAATATAGTCACGTGCATTGGCCAATGACTTTATAAACCCAGTATAGAGAAAACGAGTATTCTCTCGAAACTATATTCGAGGAATGAATCCTAACTTGACTCAACTACCAATTCTATGTATATCGTGATCAACCCAGCACAAGCCCGTATCTACCCCATAAGGAGCATAAGTGTTGGACTAGGTTTAAGTAAATCACTCTATACATGAATTGCGTATTGACCTCAAGCCAAAGGACTATTACACCATTCCACACACCGATACTCTCATAGACACATAAACAAATGGTTTATCGGTAGGGTATGCTAATACTCTCCAAACTATCCATGTGTCCATCACGAATAACAATTATTCATAGTAGTGAGACATACTATATTCTTAAAAAATATGAAGCAGACCACATGTTAATCTATCACATATCAATAATATCCCTTTCTTAATGATCATCGACTGAGGCGATTTGAGAGTTATACTTTATCAATTAACATCTCACTCTGTTAATTATAGTATTAACTCAAGGGAGCAATTAATTAATAAATTACAAACAATCAAACAATTATTTAATTAATTGCAATACCATAATTATAATCTAATATAATTATTAATGTGATCATGTATATATGTCCTCAAAAAGATTGTCTCTAGGACATATATATACCAACAAATGGGCAGGTTAAAGTTACAAATCAGATCGTATTGAATGGCCTAAACCAGATTGGAGAAAGCTTCGGGAGCATGGGTCGATGAACTCACATCTGTGCTTTGGGCGTATCGGACCACCCTGAGGTCGACAACAGGTGAAACTGCATTTAGTTTGGTATACGACATGGAGGCCCTATTACCAGTAGAAATCAAGCTGGACTCCCAAAAATCGACCACATACAACCAAGAGAAGAATGTGGAGTTGGCACGAGCAGTGCTAGATAGAATTGACAAGATGTGAGGAAAAAGCATCGACTAGAGTGACGACGTACAAACAGAAAATAAGGGTGGCCCACGATAAGAAGGGTAAGGTTCGAAGATTCCAGGTCGATGACCTGGTATGGAAGAGAGTGGTTGTATTCAATCATGTTGGCAAACTCAAATCAAATTGGGAGGGACCATATTTGGTCGAAAATGTTCACACGGAGGTGCTTACTTACTAAAGGATGCAAAAGGAAGATCATCACCCATGTAATGGAACATAGCAAACTTAGAAAGATATTATGCATGAAATTTCTTTCTTTTTTGGGAAATCTAAGTAATTCATGTTACTTGAGAAGATTAATGGAAACATGCGATGCTGCTATATTTTATTGTGTTATTATGTTTGGTATGTTTATGAGTGACCTCAGTGGCAGGTCACTATTTGGTTTTAAAAAATGCACGATGATCAAGGCTTTCGAGCTGGGTGGTCGATCCGAGTGCGAGGTCGAAGAAAAAATCCACCATGATTAAGGCTTTCGAGCTGGGTGGTCGCTTGTTTGAATGAAACCAGAGGGGAGTTGGGCAAGTGTTCCAGGCAAAATACACCATGATTAAGGCATTCGAACTGGGTGATCGCTTGTTTCAACAACCCCAGAGGGGGTTGGGCAAGTGTTCAAGGAAAAAACCACTATGATTAAGGCTTTCGAGTTGGGTGATCGCTTATTTGAATGACCTAGAGGGAGGTTGGGCAAGTGTTCAAGGCAAAATCTACCATAACTAAGGCTTTCGAGCTGGGTAGTCGCTTGTTTGAACGACCCTAGAGTGGGGTCGGACAAGTGTTCGAGGCAAAATTCACCATGATTATGACTTTCGAGCTAGATGGTCATTTGTTTGAACGACCCCAGAGGGGGGTTGAGCAAGTGTTCAAGACAAAATCGACCATGATTGAGCCTTTCGAGTTGGGTAGTCGCTTGTTTCAACGACCTCAGAGGGGAGTTGGGCAATTGTTCACAACTCACATAGAAGGAATTTTTTCAACTGTCCACAAATTAATTTTTCATCAACCTCTCTCATTATATATAGATATAGATTCTGGGATGTGTATAATTTTAGGAAAATACTACAATCCCATGATTTCGTGAGGGTTATTAACCGTTGAATATACATGTAAGTTAGTTATTGTAGATAGTCAATGGTTAAAAACCCTTTACAGTCTTACAATTTTATTATGTTTTACATCTATATATATTGAAAAAGAGAGGTCAATAAATTAAATGAGGAAAGTTTAAAAAAAATCGCAGTCAATCAAGTTGACTTACTGAATATGACAATCTTTTAAAAACTGTACAATTTGAAATTTTGATTCCTTATATTACGGTTCAAAATGCATTGCAATTGAAATCTGTTCACAGGTCTCCTAAAAAATCTACACCCTCCCGTATTTATCCCCCATAAATTAGGTTCTCCATATCTCTCCCAAAACACAATAGATCCCCCCAAATTCTTTAGCCGTTGCAGCTCCATAAATCACACCTTAATCTCCCATAACTCCTCATGGTTTCTCGCTAGATAATCTCTGAATCTGAGGAGAAGTTGCGGGCGATGATCAGGAAGATTGGCGCCAACGGGAACGTCTAGGTGGATGCCGAGGAGTTCGATATAACTCATGGCGGAGGTAACACCAGACTCCCGCCCCCACCTGATACCTCTTCGCTCGACGCAGGCCCCTCTAAGCTTCGCAAACTCATGTCCCTCACCGGTTTGCTTCATCTCCTCTTCTCATCAGCTCCTGCTTAATGCTATTTTTCTGGATCGAGTGCAACCCGCGTTTATCTTCTTATATTTCTTACTTCTCGCGTGCTGCTTCTTATCGAATTTCAATTTGGTTACGCTTATAGGTTAAAGGGCTTAGCTCCTCCTATGTACATCTGTTTTTACATGGTTGATTTTGGGACTGCGATGTGTGTGCTCAGTTTTCATTGTCTTTTTTTTCAAGAGATGGGAGACGAATGAAGGGAAATACGGGTAATGGTGCCGAGAAGGTATGAAACGAAATGTGTTTGTCGTTTGCCTTATGTTATAAGTAAATGTGCATATGTTGTTTTGTTGTTGATGTCAATTTGGAGACCTTAAAAGTTACTACCTTGCAAATTTGTTGTTCATGTTGATTTGAAGATTTATTGTTGATATCTTGCAGAAAAACCCTTCTCGACAGGGCATTTAGTTAATTTTTTGAGTTGTGTTTAACATTTACATATAGCCTAGCTTGGTATTTTTGAGAAATTTTATTCCCATGATATTGTCCTTTTTTTTATTGTTTCATCCTGGGAGAACTTTGTCACTTTTGGATGAATGCTTTAACCGAGAATGCATTTGAGAATGCATTTAACACCAACGGGCTGTGTAGAATCTGGTGGAATTTGTTCTTGGAATTCAATTTAGGTGTTTTGAAATTATTAAATTAAAAGACGAATCTTTTGTCCAATGTAAACTATTTTGTGTGGAGTATTTGTTTGATGGTTGATGGATGTTCTGCTGAGAAATGTGTGGCTTTTGGATTTCAGATGTAGATCTAAGAATAATTTTCGAACACCATTTTCTGATCAGGGGACTAGGAATGAAGAGAAAAAGAAGCAATCAAAATTTGAATCCGCTGCAATTAGAAAACCAACGTGGATCCCCAAAATTAGCAAGAGTGACAAGACAAAAAAGAAGAGAAAAATTAAAAAAGCAGAGGACCTACAGTTTGAGGCAGCTGATGAACTCGCTGATGTAGGTTTTCATAAAAAAGAACATAAAAAGCAGTAAGTTTTGTGATTTTGTCTTGATATATTTGCCAGTCGAATGTGTTTCTATGATATGAATCCCATGAGGCTTTTGGAATGATATGAACTATGAAGATGTGGTGGGATATTTTTACTCAAAGCTAGGAACTGAAGTATATGGCAGAGCTTAAAACATCATAAGCTTAGCATTTTGTAAGATGTTAATTCAGTTGGGAATAAGTTGTTGACATGGGACCATAGGATGATACGACACTGGATAATTCAATAATAACAATTTTGTTAATTGCATGAGCAAAATTATTGGAGGTATATTTTTCAGAAAGAATTTGAGAATCTTATAAGCACATTCCCCCCAAAATTAAATAAAAAAAAATTAAAATAAACTTGGAAAATCTTGATGGATGATGAACTTGAGAAGGTTTCGATATCGTCGACTCGGAATGTGTCGGATTTTGATGGATGAACTTGAGAAGGTACATTGCATTTATATTACTTAGAAAATCTTGTGTGATTCTCTATTTTCTCCCTCAGTCTATAGCACAACCTTAAAAAAACAAAAATATTGACAGCTGAGAAGGCTCATTTTTTACTTTTGATAGTTGAGAAGGCACATTACACCACAAGATATCCAATCACTGCATTAAAGAAATACATAACGGAAAACAAATTGAAAAGCGAAGCAGATTTGAAGGCCACCGAGAACAAGATTGAAGAAATTGTTTAAGATTTTGTCGAGTTTGCCGATAAAAGCCCGGTTCCAGCCCGAAATAAGCTGCTAGAGAATGTATTTTCCGATCCAAGGGGATTCAAAATCAGGCATGATGAGAAGTACAGATATGAGGACCCTAAATTTATTAAGGGCACTGCTCAGATGTAAGAATGATTCACACCTAAACTAAAAGCTTTGGTAGGAATAGTGTTCAGTTAAGTTATTTAGTTGAATCTTTATACCTATTTCTGATTGAAACGGCAATTTCAGTCTCTATTTTTGCTATGAGTGTTTTTGATGTTGTGTTCTTATTGTCCAGGCTTTTTGTTGCTCTTTTTTCATTTTTTTTTTTGTTAAGGTCTTTTTTTCTTTTTTAGTGTTGTTTGTTGGATGATTTTTAATGTAGCAAACTTGATGTGCTACTCATTCCTAGAGACTTCACAAATAGAATGTCTGTTATTACAAATGCTTTATACAATGTAAAATGTAAATGCCGTTTTGTGTTGTGTTGTGTGAGCTACATGGGAATAAAATTTATATTGTATAAAAAAATGTTACATATATTTCTATATATATATATTATGAAAAATTAAAAACATTTAAGTCAAATAGAAAGATTTACTATTATATATTGAATTCGTACATACCAATTATCATTCAAGTATATTTTTTTATAAACATGTGCAGATGTTCGATATAAATATTGAACAATAACACTCATAATTTAATTTAAGTCATATACAATAAGAATCATAATTTAATTTAATTTAATTTAAGCAATCAAGGTAAATCATTAATTCAACTTAAATTATTTATCTCAAAGTTGCTATTATTATTATTATTATTATTTCATTTTTAAGTTTTGTTTAAGAACATGAACTTAATCGATTCAAAATATTTTTTTTATAATTTATTCTTTTGATGCTTTAACGTGTAATTTTGATGTGAAACAAGAATATAGCATAAAGTAACATTAAAAACAAAAAAATAATTCCGAAATTGGCAACTAGAATAAGTTTTTCAACAAAAACATGGCATTTTAAATCTACGTAATATTTTAAACGCTAAGCGATGCTTGGATATAATTTATTTTGTTTTGTTTGGTTAATTTTAAAAAATAAATTTGTATATATTGAAAGAGGTTGATAGAATAATCAAGAGAATTACTTTAATATATATTACAATTTTTTGAAATTAAGTGTTGCTTATAATAATTGCCACAATTTTTAAAATTTAGCATATCTTATTTAGAAATCTAAATAATATACTGAAATAAGGTATGAGTAAAGGAAGGTAGAGAGAGAAATATTATGTGCATATTATTTGTTGACAATATTTGAACATGTTAAAAGTCCATTATCCTTACTTATAAACATAAATTCTAAAATGTCAATTATTTTATAACAAGTAAATAAATATAAAAATCATATATTAAATTGTTATATATCATAAATTAGAAGCAAAAAATATTAATATTCAAAATTGCTTTTATATTAATTAATATTTATTCATTTATTTAATACATGCAATTTATAATTATTATTTTGTGCATCGCACGAGCTACGTACTAGTTTATAAAAAGAGTGGTGTATAATTTTATTATTTTTTACATTACAAGAAGAGCATTGTAAAAGCCGCGCAAGTAAAACTTAGAAATTAGCAATTTAACGCTCACCATAAATGCTCCCAACTCAGAACTTCATCCCCCACCAAATGCTCCCTTCCCCAACAAATGCTTCTCAAAATCAATCAATTTTCTGACCTAATGAGACATGGGCCGGACCACTAAGTGGTTTCGCTCACTTTGGAGCTCCAAAACCTCGCCGGAGTCCTCGGCGGCGGCGAAGGGCAAAAAGAAGAAGAAGAGCAAGTGGGCCCTCCCGAGCACCGGCGATAATCCCGGCAAGCTGACCAATCGCCCCGAGGACCCATTGGGGAGTCCGTACGTCGAGGGAATCGATGCCAACAAGCACGCGATAGCCGTGGCGGCGGCGACCGCGGCGGTGGCCGAGGCTGCTCTGGCGGCAGCGCATGCGGCGGCAGAGGTGGTCAGGCTGACCAGCGGTGGCCGGAGTGGGAGGGGCGAACCGGGAGACCGGCGGCTAGTGTCGGCCACTGTCAAGATTCAGTCTGCTTTTCGAGCTTATTTGGTTCGTTTTTTTTCGTTTAAGTTGAATTTTTCACTTTCTTTTCTCTTGATCTAGTTTTAATATCAAATTGAAAATAGTATCTTGAAAACAATTTTTTTTTTTATTTGAATTAATTGTTTATTGTTGACTGAAAAAAGTACTGAACATAGTGTGCTTATTTTTTATTTTTTTTTCTTTTCACGTTAATGTCGTCATCTTACAATTTATCATAGTCAAAATATAAATGTGCACAACGATAAATTAACGACACTATCACCTCGATCTGATTGTCTATTAAATTAAGAAGAGTCGCTCCTTAGGAGCCCCTTCAGATCTGGATTCTCTTTGAGGGATATCTCGGTTGCAATGCAGAAATTGCTAAAACTATCAAATACGAAGGGATCGTAATTTCCAAAATTGATTTTTTCTTTTAAGAAGAGTCACTTTGATGAATAATCAAAGATTTCTTTTTTTTTTTTTNGGTGAAACCTTTACCTTGTTTATCCATTTGCAAATTTCCAGTGTGTGGGGATGTGTGTTATTCTTGTCACTTGTTTTGATCTCATACATGGAGACAATACATGTCCTTATTACTATACCCCTCTAAAAAAATTCACTTATACTTAATATATAAAAAGAGAATATAGTTTCTAGTAAAGTTACAGATTTATGCACATAGGTCATGTTAAGCTAGTGGGGAGACTGGTTGTGGGACTCAAAAGTCCACAGAAGATAATGGCTTTGACACCTCACAATCACAGAGAAGTGATCCTTTTGTCATCTAACAGGTTTTTCTTCTATTTTTCTGGGTTGTAAAGGATATATTCTTTTCTTTGAGCGTTTTAACCTGTAGATACCCTCTTTTAGTCTTTTATTAGTGGTATGTAAAGTAAAAGGAACTTTAATGAGCTTGGTGGATGGTAAAGTTTGTATATGTGTTTACCTACAGAGGGTATTGTTAGATTGTTGGCTACAAAAGGGAATGCCTTTTAAATATAGTCTAGTCTAGTTACAAAGGGATCAAGCTATCTTCTAAAATTACAAATAAACCCCTGATTACTTTTCGAAAAAATTAACCTTCTAATTCTAAGGGGTCTTTCTTTATAAATACAAACTTCTTGGTGGTGTTTGTTATAGCTTAATGCGATATTTGAAACGTTGAATGGTAACTGCATTGTTTTGTAACTATACTACACTAAACCATGTGAATAGCTATTGTTTAGGTTAGTGAGAAGATTGCCTTGAAAGGAAAAACTTAAGATGTTTAGTTACCTAAGGACCCAATGTTTCTTCAGATAAGATTCGAAAATTTTCATTTTGTATATTTTCCTTGCTCCTGCTTTTTTCCTTTTT